AGTTTGATAATGATAATGTGTTTTCACACTAAATGTGTGACAGTCAGGTCGTTCACAGCAGGAACAGTTTCTGCGTTCTGATTTTAATACGTGAATCCATTTTGGCTGTGTTTTGGTCTTTTCTTGCATGCAGAAGGAAAAGAGCGGCTTTGACAGGGCCAGACGTAAAAAACAACGAAATTTACCAAATCTTGGTCGGTGTTCGGAGCATTCTTAAGGCAGCTTTCCGCAGTACCTTCCTATAATATGCTTTTTGCATTTGCATAATATGCAAGAGCGCAGAAAAAAAAGAGTAACAGGTTAATATGAAATATTAGCATATATAACGGATTGTCTTCCAGTGGTTCCTGGATCAGTTTCAAGCATTCTCCAGTGCTGCAGCTCTAAACCGACATTTGCTTTTTATAGATTTCATTTTTTGCAAACGATGTATTGGCAAGTAGCGCTACGCTTAACGCTTTGTTAGTAACCCGGGCATGCCCCAGCAGTTTCTCCCTCCTCGATTTTCTGGATCGTTTCGATGGTGGTAAATTCGTACTGGCATAAGTCGCTGAAGCCGTTAGCTTGCTCTGAAACAGGCCTCGAATGAGGAAACCATCGGCCAACGGGTGAATTGTTTCGACTTATACCTTCGATCGGGCTATTTCTGTGAAATACAAAGCGAAAAAAAAAACAAAATTTGACGAAATACGCCTGCTGCCTTTCCGTCTTGGCATGTTTTCGTCTGCCTAGTTTTCACAGCAGTACAAAACGCGTATTACGGAGTTGTCTGTGTGTGTGCTACATTTTGTCCCGCACTTTCAATTCGGGAACCATAAAAGCTAGACAGCTGAAATTTTAGTATAGTGTTCCCCGCCAACGGTGACGCGGCAAATTTAAATTCAACCTTCCCGTATCTGCGGGTAACATGTACGGCCTCGTAAAAGTTTGGGTAGAATCAGTATCTCGGGAACCACGAAAGCTAGGAAGCTGAAATTTTTATGGGTATGCCCCTTGACCACGTGCAACCCAGAAAATATAAATTCACTTTTCCAGTGCGCTTGGTATCGCGTACGTCCCTGTGGAAGTTTTGGCGGAAAATTATCTCGAAACCATAAAAGCTAAAAAACTGAAATTTCAGGACGATATTTTCTACCGCCGCAGGTGCCTCACAAACTGAAATTTAGCTAGAGGTCCTACGATGTCCCAAGTAGAGGTCCCAAGTATGCAGAGGTCTTACGTAAGACCACATGAGAATTGTGATGTGAAAGTCGCTAGCTCGGAGGCCGAAAAAAATACAAGGTTGAAATTTGGAAGGATGTTCCCCATCTGTGTTTTCAAATTCAGCTTTCACGTACTAGCACGTGAAATTTTCAATGGGAAATTCCCCATCTTAGGAGCCAGAAAGTGTATCTATTATTTTTCCATATACGAAGGTGTAAAACAGTTATATACAGCAAACTTCCGCTGGACAGAATTGCGCAAAACGCATGATCGCACCGGCTACCTCGGTGCGCTTCGCTATTTATATGTTTTTGCCAGTGGTTGTAGATCTGTTCCTTTACCATATCAAATAAGCAGAACATTAGTTTGCAAATATTCATGCGCCTTGAGGAAACGAGAAATACTTCTGCCCTCTCTTTATTCCTGTTTATTTCAGGCACATTGCAGTAAAGGGATAGTAATTTTTGACCTTTCTTGTCCTTAACACAGGCGCTTTGTATTAGGACCGAAGAACATTTTTCTTCCCAGTGTTTGCGTTTTTTTTGCCCATTTAGTTGTTTTGCTGTCCGCGATCCCATACTTTTTCTGAATGAAGGTGAGGGGTCTCTACGTTCGTCGTATGGGTGACGACGTTGTCGATTTGTTTGTTGTTTGCAGTGTGGCCGTTGCTTCCGTATCAGAAAACTTCCTGCCAAAACTCGCATGTTTGTCCATGAGATCTGGCCACAGGTGTAGACCAAATTGGGCTTTTTGAGGACCTGCATAGGCAAACATTCTTGTGAAATTTCAGCTTCCTAGCTTTTCTGGCTCTCTAGATAGTGATTTCCATACCAAGACTTTCACCACATGTAAGACATCGGCATAAGTGAAATTAATTATTTGAAATCTTTGGATCACAAATAGACTGGGAACATCCTCCGAAAATTTCAGCTTTCTAACTTTCCTGATTCTCGAATTAGTGGTTTTTCCACCCAGACTTTGACGCGACGGTACTTGAGATCTAATTATACCTAAAGGCTGAATTTAAACTTTCGATGTCGCAATTTGGTATGGACCGTACTCCTGAAGTTATATCTTTTTAGTTTTTCTGATCCTCGAATTGAAAACCCTAGGCAGAACACACTCGGACGGACAAACACACACACAGACACATACACACACACATACAAACAGTTATGACAGTACGTATTTCGTGCAACTATTACAATACCTCTTCCTCCTCCTGTATTTTACTTCCTTGGCAAAATTTTTGTGTGAACCAGATGCTAGAGCATGATTTTTTACAAGTGTTTGCTCAGTGAGTAAGTGAAGGTAATCTGTGTGTTATTGCAGTACTGTATCC